AACCCAAACCCTTTCGCCTATAATAATGTCTGAAACCCACAGAGAAAAGGGGATGAAAGAAGAAAACTTAAGTGCTCTGAGGTCAATAACAATTTGCCCTAAATCTTTCAAACTACAGTAGTTCAAAGTAGCCTTACAGAGTACATGATTGTGCTCAAGAAAGATCTCGCAAGAGATATATCTTGTTTCTGCCATTGCTTCTCTCAGGCAATTGAATAAATAAAAAATCCTGAGATCTGTGTGCACTTATGTGTGATTAGATTTAATTAACAATTCCTTATTGATTCAAGAGCTAAAGAAAATTAGCTCATCTTAAGAAAAAATTGGCAAGTGAGGGATGGAAGGGAACAACACACACACACACACACACACACACACACACACACACACACACACACACACACACACACACACACACACACACACACACACACACACACACACACCAGGATAGACCAAAAGAACTCAAGTATGAAATGGCATATGAGAAGGATACTGTTAGGTCATCACAACAAGGAACAAGGTAGATAATTCAAATCCTTCTGTAGTGTCTCCTATGGAAATACACTGACGTGCAAAAATAATTTTGTTCAAAATCATAAGGAGCCTCAATTTCCCAGTGCTCATCTCTAGAGCCATATATTTATTTCATTGTAAAGGTGAAGTTCAGAGGGGTTGCAGTTACATAAGTCAGGTGCTGAGTACATTTCTTTTTGAACTCCCTCCCCATAGCCGTATATTTTTGTTTCCCAAATTCTGCCAAAGTTTACTGAGTTCAACCATATAAAAGGAACTCTGCTAACCAAAGAAAGAATTATCTTTGGAAATGTAAATTCTTTATGTGTCTTCAACAAGAACATTTTGAGTGAATGAATGAATAATGAAAGCCAAGTACTCTCTGGCATACTTCCCAATTGCTCCAGGTTTCTTATGGTTGAATTCCTGAATCCTTGTTCCATCATCATGAGTAACTCTGGACAGATGTGCATGAAAGAGAACTGGATATGGGATTTACTTGAATTCATCATCAGGATTTTCCCATTGTCAGGGATGATGGAGATCAGACAGATGAGACTAGTGGTTTCCCTGCCTGTGGAGAGTAGTATGAGACAGGGTGGGATCCATTCTGAGAATAGACTGTCGCTGTATCCATCAGAGGCTCTGAAGGAGATCACCTTGTAGGCTGTCCCCATTCCATCTTGAGGACAACCATCACTAAGCAGAGAGAGCAGAGCTGGGCAGCAGGGCTAGGGTCTGTCTGCTAAAGGCCTCAGAGAGGAGCAAGATATGGCCAAGTGGAGAATCTGTAAGTGGCCACGGAATGCACCATGGTACAAAGGAACAGACTCTATGACCAATATTTCTGAGAGTAGCATTAGGCCAGTGGCCAGGGGCATAGATCCCAAAGGTCTATAGTATGGGAGCTAGAGTGACGCAAAGTCAGGATAAGACCAGAAAGACAATCACTCAAGTCCTACCCAAAACCAGGGAGAAGATTTCAGTGGCAGACTTTGGTCACAGATGTCAGAAGACCCAGGAATAATTAACAACTATACTTCTAGAAAGAGCCTGGGCTAGTTACACCACAGTAGAGTTCTCATGAGGATCCAGAAGACACTTTGTAAATTCAAGAACCAGGCCCCTCCCACTACCCTCAACAGGAATTGGCAAAGAAGGTGGGTGGAGAACCGGGGAAGAAACCTGAAATGCTACTCAAAGTCACTAAGCAGTTACTGAAGATGACAACATTATTACATCTGACGCAGTTTGCTATATTAAGCTACAATATACTCTTTCCCCTCTCTGCCCTACTGCCTACAGGGTAGAACTTGCTTCATGCGGATAATAAAAATAAAGAGTAAATCACCTGATATTTACAGCATGTATTCTGTGATCTAGGCACTGGAAATGTGAAAAGGTATTGGTCAGCCTCTTCCTCCAAGGAATTCCTGCCTTCTGGTACAGATATCACTGGTAGTCATGATACAGAATGAGAAGGGCTACCATAAAAACACAACAGACAAGCCAGGCACAGCTACTCAGAAAGCTGAGATCTAAGGGTCAGTTCAAAGCCAGCTCAGGCAGGAAAGTCTGTGAGATTCTTATCTCCAGTTAAATATTAAAAAGCTGATGGTTGAGCTGTGGCTCAAGTGGCAGAGAACCAGCTTTGAGCTGAAAAGCTAAAGGACAACACCTAGGCCTGAGTTCAGGCCTCAGTACAGGCACACATGCAAAAAAGTTGGATGAATATTTGTACACGAGCCATGAGGGGTCTGTAGCTGCATTGTCTGGCCAGGCCTTGCTATGGGCCTGCTCTCCTTTGTTGACAAAGGAAGGTCTCCAAGCAGGATCTTCACTAAAAGCTAAAGAAATCTTACCAGGTGATGTCACCTTTAGGAAAATATTTCTCTTCCTTAATGATTTCTATATTGCCTCCTGTGGCAATTTCTGGGGGAATTCCCTGGGGGAATTTCTAATGACTACACCCACACATGCACTCACATATCCATCTCTTTTCAATGAAACTTCCTGAAAGGAAGAGAATTAATAAGTAAGCTCATTCCACACAAAAAAAAAATTATTAAATTGTATGAAAAGTCATCATACCTCTACATATTCACTATGTTCAAAGTTGTTTTTCAAATCAGATACCACACTTCATCTATTAAATAAGCTCTTTTGTTGGTGGTGGCGTAGGTCTTGAACTCAGAGCCTGGGCTCTGTCCCTGAGCATTTTTTGCTCAAGGCTAGGCCCTTACCACTTTGAGCCACAGCTCCACTTCCAGTTATCTGTGGCTAATTGGAGATAAGAGTCTCACTTTCCTAGCTGGGCTGCCTCTGACTTGCAATCCTCAGCTCTCAAGCTCCTGAGTAGCTAGGATTACAGGTGTGAGCCAAAGTGCTCAGCAAATGAGCTCATTTTATTTTATTTTATTTTATTTTTGGTCAGTCATGGGGCCTGAACTCTGGGCCTGGGTGCTGTCCCTGAGCTCTTCAGCTCTATCAAGGTTAGCGCTCTTATCACTTGAGTCACAGCGCCAATTCCAGTTTTTTCTGCTTATGAGGTGCTAAGGAATCGATCCCAGGACCTCATGCATGCAAGACAAGCACTCTACCACTGAGCCACTTTCCCAGCCCAAATGAGCCCATTTTAAAAAGCCCAAACAAACCACACATAGTGGCACACACCTGTAGTCCCAAATTTGAAAGAGTTCTTTCTGCTACCCCACTTCCTATTCAGAACTTTGCAAAAGCGAGAGAGAAGCCAGGTTACATACAACAGTTCCTACTGACCACACGGTAGCAGCTCATTGGAGTTTGTCATCCCCTACCTGTCTTGCTCCTAAGAAAGTGTGGAATGCACTAGGAAAAAGTTTCTCTCAAGTCCAGGGTTTTATCTAGGCTTAGATGAACTCCCTACTGCCTCTGCCTCATTTCTCTTTTCCGAGTCTCCACTCCTTAACTAATAAGTGAAGAGAACAATTACATCTAATATGCAAGTCTTTTTAAAATAACACATGTGGAAAATAATTTATAAGACTTATTCAAAACTTTCCTTATTCTGCTGTGGTTTTCCATCCTTTGTGTTTCCTACTATAGCCTTTAAATAATTTTTAAACATTTTATATTAGTCTATTTACCACTAATACAATATGTAAACAAAGGAGGTATAGTTACCTTAAAGTTTTGAAAGCTCAAAATCAAAACTGCATAGCATGGGTTCTAAAGTATATGCAAAAGAAAGAACTCTCACACAAGACAAGAAGCCAGAGAATAGAGAAGAGCCATTTTGGCTCTTTTATGACACCCTCTTTTTAAAATATATTTTTTTATTGTAAAGATACTGTACAGAGGGGTTACAGTCACATGAGCAAGGCAATGAGTACATTTCTTATTGAGCATTGTTACCCCTTCCTTTGTTTTTCCCCTATCATCCCTTCTCTCCCCACCTCCCTTCCCCCCCTCCCGGAAGTTGTAAAGTTCATTTTCAGCATAGTGTCTTGTACATCTCATTGTTACAGTGGGTCAACCTGTATCCTTATTTCAGCATTTTGAACAACCCTCTTTTGATAACTAATCAGGGTCCCACAAGAACCACCTTAATCCTTTTCATGGGAAATGCCTAGAATGGTGGAATGACTTCCTGCTAGGCTCCACCTCTCCTTACCACCTCTTAATGTCACCACATTGTGTTTCACATTGGTGGAAACCCCCAAGAGCCTAACACAGGAACCCTGTCAGGATACACTTAAACCATATCCAAATCATAGCTCTCTCTAGGCCTCAGTCTCTTCATCTGTAAAACAGCTCACATTGATAATAGAGTTATTTCCTGAATCAGACATCATATCCACTACAGTTCAGCAAAATGAAGTCATTATAGATAGTAAAGTGTCAGATAATGCTAGTTATTGTCACTATCACTGCAGCAAACGGCTGCTCCCTGAGCTTTCCAAGGTTGTCAAGCTTTCTGCTCTGTTGCCTCCTTCGGCAATCACAAATTGGTTTTGTATCAGAAAAAGGAAAGGCGAGGGAAGGCGGGGAGGAAGCGCTTCACAGGTGCCATCACTAAAGAGGGAGGTGATATGAGCTAGAGTCAGCCAGAATGACTGAAAAACGGGAGATGCCGCCCAAGTGGGTGAAAAACACAAAGAAGAAAATATTTCAAAACTTCTTGAGACCTGCTGATGTCTGCTAAAATATGCATGTTTGTAGACTGAATGATAATTAAAGGAGACTGCAGTGAGGTCCAATCCCCATAGTTTTAATTAATCTTTAATCAATAAACAGTATACTCCTTGGTAGAATCTCCTGCTGAAAGCAATGAAACAAAAATCCAGGCATTCCTAGCGGCCTTAAAGCGGAACGATAGTGGATTCTGGAGACTCCAATCATTAACCACTGAGCTCCCAGAACGGCCTATCCAGGTGCTGCCCAGGGAATGACAAAGGGCAACTCCTGAGATGGCTTCTCCCCTGCCCCTAGGTCTCACCGCCAGCTTGGTTTCAAGGACATGATGTGCTGATCACTCCCAGAGGAAGTACTTCCAATGACATCCTCTCGCCTTTCTGACAGCATGAAGGTAAGACAGCACATGCTACATCATTTGAATTCTAATATGATTTGGAAGGTTTTCCTTTCATTACCAAACCCACTCTAACCTCATTCTCTAAATCTGCCAGTAATGTGCTGAAACTGGGTACATATTAAGGAATTGTGGGGAGGAAAAAAAACCAGGCAAGAGCACTAAAGAATTCTAACAAGGAGGGTCCAGAGAAGGAACTATTAATACAAAATAGAAGAGGTTATTTCTGACCAAAAACAAGACAGGTTTGCTGTAAAACTAGAAATCCCAAGCCTTCAACTTCTCCTTCAAGATTTCTCGGGTGTTTGGAACCTATAGCTTAGAATGATGTTCGTGATCATTAGAAGGAAGGAAGGAAGGAATCAGAGAGAAATTCAAGCCCACCTAGCTTGTGAAAACTGACGACAACTTGGGTACCATTCTCTAAGCAATAAAACCATATAATTCTTCAAAAAATGCCCACTAGGTTGTATACTCAAGTCTCTTGGTGTTTCTTCTACCTGACGGAGGTGGTATGTCGGGGTTCAGGGAGATGTAAGAGCCTTTCACCAGGGCACATCTGTCAGGGTCATTATTTCCCCTACCTCTGGACAGAAGGTGACACTCTAGAAATATTTGCTAAGCATGTGAATAATCTCCTCGCTTCACCTCTCTCAGCCCTGCTGTCTTCACCTGGAGGTGAAGGTGGTTGAGCCAGGTCATTTCTGCTGCCCTTTTGACTCTGAAGGCTTCAGGTTCTGGGACTCTGTCCAGCTCTCACTGCTTATCCCTGTCTTCACAACTGGGTTGCCACCATTTAACGGAGCATGGTCTAACAATCCTTTAGTCCCTGCTACCAACTTAATTTCAGTCCTCCTTTGCTTATTAGCCACAAAGAGTTAAGCATTTCTTTGTCCCAGGTACTTGCTTTCACTTGAATCAGGTTTAATTTATACATAGCTATGTGATGACTTTCTGCTGGAGCTCACACTGGCTGTGGTCCAAGTTTGGATTTAAAGCAAGAGTGTGATTAATGTGTTCCCTACCTCTCCACTGGACTCTCAAAATGCCTGCTCGCCTCCTAATAAGTGATCCTCCCTACCTCCATCCAGGTTCTTAGACTGCCTGGACTCCCAACAACATAGGCACCTAAGTAAGTTGACTGGACAGCATAAATACAAACATAAAGCAGACTACTCTCCTAAATGTAAAGGTAAAGCCAATTACTGCCCAAATGTAAGTAAGTGAGAATCAGCTCAGAGGCGTGGCAATGTCACAGAATGATTTACTCCTCCAACACTTCTCGATGTCCAACTAGCAATATGTGCTCAGAAGTGTTCAGGACTAATGCATCTCCTCTCCCAGGAGTTAACTTGAATTTTTTTTTCTATTTGGGAATAACTGTAGATTTACAGGAAAGCTGGAAAAAAAATAAAAAGAACACCACAAAGAACACTGCGAACCTTCTACCCAGACTGGCCTCTTATTAACATTTCACTCCGCTTTCTTTTAGAAATCAAGGTAACTCTAATCAGTGCACAATTCTGCTTTCTTATATGTATTTTTCCCAGAATCACTTAATGGTAACTTGTATATATCATGTCTCTTTAATATATGACTGTATCTCCTAAAGATATATGGGCTTCTTTGATTTTTTCCTCCTTCCTTACAATATCTATACAATTAATAAAATCCTATAAAAAGAGAAAGAACTTTTTTAAATGTATAAAATGTTAATTTTTAAACAGGGTAATAAGGAAACACCATGTTAACTACAAACTATGAAGTCCCCAGTAATGACATTTCAAGGATGGTGGAGGAGAAGCATGGTTTCAGTAGAGATTTCCTACTACCCTTGGACTACCAACTCATTCCTGGAATTAGCCTTGATCCCTGCCAAAGAAAGCAAGCAAACACCTGTATTTTAGTTCAGAATGAAGATCCTTGAAGCTAAGCAATCATATGGCAGTCATGCTAGCATTGCTTCTCCTCTGGGAACCATACAGAGTAAGTTCCTCTGCTCTGTAGAATAGGTTAGCCCCCGCCCCCACCAATGCTATAGAGATAAGCCACTTTCAGAAACCACTCTTCTCCTAGAAAGTACACAAAAACTTTCTCCTTGCATTAAAAGTAAGTCATTATACAAGTCCCCACATAAGACCTGATGTGAAGGGTTTTGGACCACCTTCCTTGTTTCCTTACAACCTCAAAATGGAGCAACTGCCACCTGCTGCTATGTGCTCAAACACCTGCTAAGACCATCCAAAGATGAAGCAGTAGCTTCTCTGGGCACTTCTACTCTACCAGAACACGGACCTGCCCCATGGTTCCCAAAACTCATACCTACACAAGAGCCCAGCAAGTAAGAAGGAATGAGCCATGAAACCCATTTCCATGATTAATCAAATGCTACACATAAACACCCCTTCTTTCTTTGGCTGCAAATGATTTTGCTTATTTAGCTATTAATTTTTAGTAAACTTTATCTGACTATATCCCCTGGTAATACGTAAGTTTTCTTATTGAAACTTTTTGTTCAAAATCTTTCTTTATAACAACTACAAAATCAACAAAATAGTATTTCTTAGGTCTATTTTTTTTTTCAATAAACACATGCTTGAAGAGTAAAGAAAGAAAAGAAAAGCATCAAACAAATGAATAGTTTTCCAGCCTCACTAAGTGTAGGTATGTTGAAATCAACAGCATTCTTTATTGTCAAGGTAACTCCAAGGTAACTCTGATTAAATGAATCCAAAATATTTACCTTGTACTAAACTCCCCCCCCCCCAAATGCCACCCAACTTCTTTAAAAAAAGAGAGAAAGAAAGTGAGAGAGAATGGCACCTAATAACACAAAGGTAGATTTTAAAGTGAAAGAAACATGGAGTCGATTTACCTCTGGAGTCCATAAATAAAGTATCTTTACAGGGAGCATTTTATAAAGACATGTAAAAACAGGAACTTCATTGAAAGCCAGGCTAACAAAGAAAGAAGGAAAGGTAAGAAAAAGAAGCTGTCCTGTTTGGCTCTGCAGGGAAAACAAAAAGCACGATGCTCTACCTTGCTTGGATGCCCTGCGCCGAATCTTCATTTTGGGAAAGGAAGGCCACGAGTAGTTAAAAGGTGAGTCGGAGTCAGAATCCATTGTTTTGTTTGGGTGAAATGATCAGATTAAGCAGAGGAGACTCAGGAAGAACTCGTGGCCCGCCAGGAGGCAAGCCTCCCCAGTGATGTCAAAGGAAGGAATGAGGCTGGATAAAATAGCTCCCAAACACGGGGAGGGAGAGGCAGTGTTTTGCTTCCTTCGGGCGTTCAGGCATGTAGACCAACAAGGAGGCTGTAAATATTAAAGCCAAACTAGGGAAGGAAAAAGGGGGAGCTGGGGGGAAGCTGGGGGCTTACTGATGCATCGCAGTCCAGTTGTTCAAAAGGTCATGGGGAGCAAATGAATCATTAACTCCCCTCTCCCTGTTGCTCGAAATGGAAATGAAGAAGGTTAGGTAGTTGGGAACTGAAAGGAGAGCTGCCTGTGATTGAAGAAAACCCTTCCAACACAGGCATTTGTTTGGCTAGGGATCTAAAGCATCATTTCTCAGAAAAGCCACCTCACATAGTGTGAGATAAAGACTGAGGTTTGCGTGTGCAGACAGCCAGAAAACTTGGTCCACAGGCAAACAAGGGCCAGCAGATTTGGTCAGCAGCGAGGGGTTGGGGAGCAAAGGGGAGAAGCAGGGAACTCTTTCCACAGCACTCTAGTGGTTCACACCATCAACCGCTTGGGAAGCTTTTCAGATGGAAAAACCAAAACAGCTTTGACGTTACAGTTAACAATCTAGTCTCCTGGGTCCTTTTAATCCTAAAGTGGTTGGATGCTTTGATAAGAGAATTCTATTCATCTTGTCAAATCTGTGCAGCCCTCTACTGTTGTTTTAAGCATGATTGGGGCCATCTCCTGAATTGTCATCAAGTTTGGCTGTCAATTGTAAGGATTTGGACAGTTTTATAGCTTTAATCTCAACTTTCAGTCCATCCCAATAGAGCTAGTGACTAAAACTGGCACAAACCAACAGTTCTTGCAGCCTCCCTGAACATGTGCTCAGTGATTAGCATTCAGTAGAAGCTCAGCACTGCCTCCCCATAAATCAAGGCACTGCTCAGTCTCACTTCTCCACTTGTACAGGCACAGATGCATGTGACCCAAATAAAATCAAGCTCAGCAGCCAAAGTCTGCATAGGAAAAAAATAAAAGTATATTGTACAAAGACCTCTTTAAAATATTTCTTTCAGTAGCAGAAAGATATATAGCAAGATGTGATGTGTTTTGTTTCCTGAGGCTGTGTGATGCACATATAAACAGAACATCGCAAACAATATAAGCATCTATTCAACCCCTCGGATTTGGAAACTGACAGTGTGTATCTTCATTAACATTCATCTCTTTACTTCAATTATTTCTCAAATTGTTGGCACTATTATGCCAGGCAATGCAAGAAATAGCTACACAGCCTTCTCTGTGGTAGCTGATTCTGTCTGATTGGGTAGGGGCAAATAAGGCACACAGGCAGAAGGGGAGAAAGGGAGAGATCACTTGAATTCAAATCAAATTTACATAAATCATGATTGTGATTTTATATGGTTACATAATGATACAAGAACAAAATACATCTAGAATGTATTAAATGAATATATTAAATGAAAACAAATGCTTTATACCTAATTACCTTATATTTAAAGACTAATTACAAATTTCCTTAATCCACTGGGTACAAGTGTAAAGATAAATTATTCTCAACTTCATATCAGGTAAAAGAATTTTAATCCATATTTCTCTTTGTGTGGGTGTGGGGGAGGTGTGCTCACGCGCGTGCGCACGTAGGTGAGCACAGGTGCCAGTCCTTGAACTCAGGGTCTGGGCACCGTCCCTGAGCTTTTGTGCTCACATCTAGTGCTATGCTACTTTAACCCACAGCACCATGTCCAGCTTTATGGTAATTAATTGGAGATAAGAGTCTTACAGATTTTCCTGCCTGCACTGGCTTTGAACCATGATCTTCAGAGCTCAGCCTCTTGAGTAGCTAGGATTATAGGTGTGAGCCACCAATGCACAGCTCCAAATTGTAGTTTGAGGCCAGCCCAGGCAGAAAAGTCCCCATAACTCTTTTTACAATTAACCACTCAAAAACTGGAAGTGGTGTTGTAGCTCAAGTGGTAGTAGAGTACTAGCCTTGAGACCAAAGAGGCTCAAGGACAGGTTCAAGCCCCACAACTGATCAAAAACAAATCTTATAAGGGGTGTGTGCCAGTTCTAGCGCTAGAACTCAGGCCTTGGGTACTGTCCCTGAGATTTTGTGCATTCTACCACTTGAGACACAGCTCCACTTCTGCTATTGGAGATACAAATCTCACAGACTTTCCTGCCTAGGCTGGCTTCAAGCCATGATCCTCAGATCTCAGCTTCCTGAATAGCTAGGATTACTGGCTTGAATCACCAGCGTCCAGCTCTTGTGAGTTTTTACATTCAGTATATTTGAAAACTAGTATATTGCCTGAGAAACTGCAGACATTTGCTGAAGGATGAGTAATTCACACCAGTTGTGACCATCTGTAGAATAAGAACCTTGATGTGAGAACAGTTGCAGTTTTACTATCTGCTGATTACGAACACACATCTAAAAACAACAAAAAGCCATATTAACTCTCTCAAAATGTTTAAAAAAAAAAAAGCTTACAGTTTTATCATTATAATACCTAGATTTTTAAAATCACAGTATCTATGAGTAAAAAACAAAAACATAAAGCTACCCTTTGCCCTCTGAGGCTCAGGCACTGGGCTATGCACTGGTCCACAGCACCATGGCTGCTTCTCAACTATCTACAGACCAAAGAAAGGGATCTACCCTCACAGAGAGACAACTCCAATTAAGATGCTGGAACAGGATATTGTTATCTTTCTACAGCTCTACTGCCCAAGAATCCTTAGAGATGCAAATGTTCCAAGGCACTTAGACAGAATCCAGTCCTCATCCTGAATTGCTAGGGGTGATTTTCGAAAGTTCTTGTTTCACTAATGGCCTAAAGGATGCCACACTAAGAAGGAGACATAGTCTTAATTATCATTACAAGTAGAACATACACTATGAGAATTTCAGGTAGAACACACTAATGAGAAACTAATGAGAAATGTGAGAAAGTCACATCAGAGACTCTGATGGTGAAGACAGAAGAGTGTGGGGTAGAATTTCTCAGACAGCATCCCAGGAAGAATGTTCAATAAAATGCAAATAACCACATTCCTGCACTGAGCCTGATGAATCAAGATCTCTGAGGGTGGTCCAGGCACTAACAATGAACACCACCCCACTGCAGGCAATTCTGACACTCCATGAAGATTTAAAGTCACTAACCCAGGAAAAAGATAAACCCAGTAAACAAGTTACCATAGCAAGCTGCTCTCCCTTTACCAATAATGATAGATCAGAAGAACAACAGAGAGAAATCAAAGAACTTGTTAAAAAGCATTTGTTAGTTGAGATGTCAGATTAACTCATGTTCACCTGATTGTCCCAAAACAGTCTTTGTTCACCCCTTAAATAACAATTATTGATAATAAAATTCTTCCAACAATAAAACTATTCAACCAATGCATATGAAAATATCTCTGATGTCAAGAGCATCCCAATGTCCTTACTTGCTTCACTATTAACCAATATTTTGAAAGAATGGAATGATAGTATGACCAGCCATGCACCGTTAACAGCTAAAGTGAAGTAGAAAGTATTTGTGCAGCCTATCTCATTTTCTTGCTCACTAGCAGACTTTATCCTAATTGTTTCCAAAGTAATTGAGAATAAATTTTCTATTTCATCAATATAATTACATTTACATAAATTCAGGATGCTATTTACATCTCATTAATATTCAATGGATACATTTCTTTGCTTTGTCTCACTGGCTGATTGCAATTACAGTTGGCAGAACTTAATGACAACTCTCCAGGCCACCTTGCCACCCATTAGCACACAACCATTCCAGTATAAGAATATGAATGACTCTCCAGCAGATACTTTATCTTACTGTGTCTCCTTTAATTAGAAAATGCTTTAGTTAGGAAAACCACCTTCATAAGGTTATTATTATTCAGAATAGACCCTCTGTCTTGAAGTTTCATCTTTCTGCAAAGCACATAGAGAATGCTTCCCTCCATCTTCTACATGTCACTTGCCTTTCTCTTCAAAGGAATATTGAGATTTAGATTTGAAGTATAATATTTCCAGAATATTTTTATCCCCTTATGGGACCCCAAATGCTTTCATTAAATATTTTTTATTGTTACTATAAAGGTGATATACAGATATACAGGGGTTACAGCTTAAGTTAAGCAATAAGCACATTTCTGTTTGGACAACACCACCCTTCCCTGGCTCTCTCCCAGTTTTTCCTTCCCTTATCCACCTACAAGTTATATAGTTCATTTTCACCATAGTGTCTAGTATCACTGCTACATTGGATCACCCTTTGTCCCCATTTCTGTGCCCTCTCTTACCCTCCCAAAGACAGATAAATGAACAAACAAGACAAAAATAAAATTTAAAAAAACTCTAGTTTCCATTTCCTAGTTTCATTTTGATAAATATTATTGTATATGATCAGAGGTGCTGCACCTTTGTGATTTTGCCCTAAGTACCCTCCTTTGGTCTCACTGTATATGAATGCCTAGAGGTCTGTCATGTCCAGTTGTATTTTAGATCTAGCTTCTACATATGAGAGAAAACATGCACCATTTGTCTCTCTGAACTTGATTTATCTCAATTTCCCCAAATTCCTTTATTTACATTTTATTGTACAGGTGATGTACAGAGGGGTTACAATTACATTAAGTCAGATAATGTATACATTTCTTTTTGAACAATCTTACCCCCTCCCTCATTTTCTCCCAGTTTTTCCCCTCCTGACTCCTCTCCCTCCAAAGTTATAATATTCATTTCCAAAATAGTGACTAGTGAGTACCACTGTTGTATTGGTTCACCCTTTGTCCCACTATTTCTGTGATTCCCCTTCCCTTCCCCAAATCAGATAAACTTATATACAATACAAAGTGTACAGAAATAAAAAATAGTGACATC